TATTTCTGCTTGTTTGTGAAATGTGCAAACGTTTGTGAAGACATTTATAAACGCGTTTTACTTAATTAATTAATTAAGAATTGTATATTAAAGTGGAAATCTCAGGCCGGGGTTTTAATGCAACTATTTTGCCGAAGTGTGCACATAAATAAAGTGTTTATTGTGTGAAATAGCGCCGAGAGGTTAGTTCAATTTACAAACTTTAACAACAAATAACTTAAAAACTAGAAGCCTGCTGCGGCTAAAAGTATATATATTTGCAATCAGGAGAACTCCCTCTATCGTTCCATAGCTACCTTAATGCGGAACTCCGGGGATGCCAAACTAAATTGCGGCCGTGATATATATTGGAGAAAATATTATTGCTTTTTCAATTTGGTTGTTGATTTTAAAAAATTTAGTTGTATTTTTCGAACCCATCAAGATAACCAACCGTTCAGCTATGGAAAAACTAAAAATGCACACCGATAGTACTTTTTATGCTGATTTCAACCATATAAATATTACTTGTTGCAATTAAAAAGTAAAGAAGATATAAAAGGTTAAAGAAAATGTTTGTGATATTTAAAATATTATTATTTTCTAAACTACGCAACCGATTAAAAAAGTAATAATATCAAAGTAAAGACAATTAATCTGTCTTTAAGTTGATATATAAAATGTGTTTGATTGCTAATATATTTAAGCCAAAAATATTAAAAAATAAATAAATTGTTATAATATTTTCATAAAATAACCTCTTTTAGAGAAAAGTGCATAATCAATGCTAAAGACATATATATTATTTAGAAAGTGCAAGTTCTTACCTTTAATTCGATATACATATTTTATTATGATCTACTTTTGAGGTTTAAGATTTCAGTGATACAAAAAATTAAACGCACTTAAAAGCAAGTGACAAGTGTGGGTGATATCATAGTTTATTTTGCCCAGAACTTCTTTCTGCGTAGGCGGCCTTCGGCCGCGCTTAGGGATCATAACCCTAACTAAGTAGAATTCTCCTTTCTGTATTGGCGCACTTAGGGATTATAACCCTTACCAAATAGTATTCTGCTTTTGGTGTGTACAGTGATGTAGCCTTGGGAAAGGATGCGGTAACTAGAATTCGCTTTCTGTGTGGTAAACCTGGGACTGCTGGGCTGGGGCTGATGTCTATTATGGTTACTGGGTGTTTTATAAAAATGCGTACATAAAAATGTTTTGTGCAAATGAATATTTAACATTTTTCAAGCGAAAAAACGCAAATGAAAATTGTGATTTTTGGCCATTTTTCTAAGGGGTCCCTAGGGAACCATAGGGACCTAGGTGGACGAGGGTTATCTTTTTGTCAATGGCGGTTCATTCCCTCTCCAAAAAGGTGGGTTAGAGTTACCACGCCCACTTACCTTTCGCCCACCGCCCCTTTAACGAACGGCCATAATGGAAAGCAAACCCGTTTAATTAACTAACTACAATATGCATTTGCAAATACATACATGCATTTATATTTTTTATTATCACTGAATTCTGAAAACCTAAAGCAAATCATAATATAATATGTATATCAAATTAAAGGTAAAAACTTTCTAAATATTTTGGCTNACTACAATATGCATTTGCACATACATACATGCATTTATATTTTTTATTATCACTGAATTCTGAAAACCTAAAGCAAATCATATTATAATATGTATATCAAATTAAAGGTAAAAACTTTCTAAATATTTTGGCTGAAATATTAAAAAAGCATACACATTTTATATATCAGCTTGAAGATAAATTAATTGTCTTTCTTTTTACATCATTACCTTTTAATCGGTTACGCAGTTTTGAAAATATTAATATTTTAAACTATCACAATTTTTTTGTTTTACCTTTTATATCTACTTTACTTTTTAATTGTGGAAAATAATATTTATATAGTTAAAATCAGCGTAAAATGTACTAGCAACCGCGGTTAACAGTGTGGAAATTGAACTTTTTCGTGACCTTCAAAAGTGAAAATTTTGGATTTTTGTATTTTTTACCTAAAAATAGTATGTAATGAATTCATAAAAAAATTAAAATACGTTTTTCGGTTCTTTCGACCATGGAAATGGAAATGAATAACTTGTGTTGTTAAAAAGTACACTGCATACTATTTTCAGGTCGAAAAAGGAAAACATATTGAAAACCCTTCTCTTTGAAGGTCATTTCAAAGGTCAAGGAAATTTATTTACCCATAGAAACTATATTTCCTCAATTCTTAATCTCAAAAGCCTTAAAACGCTATTGAATTTTTTTTCGCTAGCTATTCTCATTCCCTAGATATTAGAATTTGTCACGAAAAAAGTTCAATTTCCACACTGTGTGCCAATGACGTCGAAATAATCGGTAGCAACAAATAGAAAGGCTGTTCTGCCTTCTCGCAATTAGATAGAGAAGCAAAGCATGTGGGACTGGTGGTGAACGAGGGCAAAACCCAGCATCTCCTGTCATCCGACAAAAAGCATAGCATAAGCGTCTTGGCACCCACGTCACTGTTGACAGTTATAATTTTGAAGTTTGACCAATAACCATGTCTTCCTTGAAGTCCAACTAAGAATGGCTATTGCTAACTGCTGGTACTTAGACAATCGAGCAACAAGGTGCTGTCTCGTCGTACAAAAACCACTTAATAAGTCTCTCATCGTCCAGATGAATGGCGCAGAATCAGGGAAGAGGACATCATCTTACGCGGTGGTCAATGGAGTGTTAAAGATAACGATTATTTGGAAGTTATGTGGCTATTCATGTCGGCCGCTGTGGTGTAGTGGTAAGCAGTGCGCGCTTTCACTCATCAGCACCTGGGTTCAAACCCTGGTCAAAACAACATCCCAAAAAATATAGAAAAAAGGTTTTTCTTAACAGCGGTAGTCCCTCGGCAGGCAATGGCAAACCTCCGAGTGTATTTCTGCCATGGAAAACAGCTTCTCATTAAAATACAATCGCCGTTCGGAGCCGGCGTAAAACTGTAGGCCCCCCCGCTTTGTGTGACAACATCAAGGCGCACGCCACAAGTCGGAGGAGAAGCTCGGCCAAACACTAACATATGTGTAAGCGCCAATCTATTATTATTATTATTATTATGGCCATTCATCCATTTATGGCGGCGAGTAACGAAGACGAAAGAACGATGGGTTATATGAGCTTTGTAACGACATTGAGATAGTTCAGCGAAATAAAGTACAGCGGCTTCGCTGGCAAGGCCATGTCTTTCGAATCTTCTCTTCGTTAGGAAGATCAGGTGGAGAGGAACTTAGCTTTACTCGGCCTGCTCTGTTGAACTTGGCTAAAGTCGATTAAGCGATTATAACGCCATTCGAGAAATAGAAAAAGCTCTCAAACAATATTAGCAAATCCATCAGTAATATATATAGTTTAAAATAATAAAAATTAGTTAACCAGAAGATTTTTAAATTAGCCGGACTTTTGCTATTGAATGATACTATTTTTAAAAATGGCGATCGAAATTATTTTCGTAGTTCAAATCAAAATATAACAAATGGTGTTGGATGAATAAGAAAATCGCTGTTCTCGGTATCACTAATTATTTGTTTAGTACTTTTCTTACCTATGGGAGCTGGCATGCCACGATGTGGCGCAATATACGGTCCTGTTCCGCTTCCGCCATTGTAGTGGTGATTACCAACGTATCCATGGACTGATGGAGGCGGGTATTGTGACTGTTGAACATAATTGTTGCTACCGTATGTTGCATGGATGTTGTTATTATTACCATGGCCAGGAGAGCCAGATATCTGCTGTGAGTAATGGTGATGTGAAGCCCCCATGGGTGAATAAAAAGATCCATTTGGTGAACGTGGAGACCCTGAATCCTGTTAATGAAATTGTTGTCAAATAAAAAATGTATCTGTAGAACAGAGGTAAACTAACCCCACTCTCCCATTGGTCGCCGGTACTCTTGGTCCCTTGCATTGGTGGGCGATAATTTTTAGGCTTCGGCGGTGGAACTGGTTTGAATGGACCGCAGGCACTGTTGTTTGAAGCCCCATTTCCGCTACCACTGTTGTTGTTGCCATTGATGTTTTGTGGCGATGCAATCAAATGGGGATTATTCGGCTGTTTGCTGTAATCTGCTTGCGTCACGGAGTTGTTACGACTAATACCAACCGATTAAGCGTGAAATATGAGCATAGTTCATTTGTTCCGTTTTGATGGAGTATAATATTAATATAGATGAATAAAAACAGGCGAACGGCGAACGGAAAATATAGGCGAAAACAAATAAACACAATGAAAATAAATACGAGTAGTTAATCTATTCTGTATGAAGTACATAGGAACATGAGTAAGGATATAATTCAGATTAAATTAAATTTAGGAATAAAAATAAGCATTTTTATTACACATGCATGATTCAATAACACAAGGGTAAGTAATCTGTGACAGCTCAAATCTGACACTCCTTTATCTAGATTTGTATTTTGGAAGTAGGAAAAAGGGGAAGAATGGCTGACTTCCAAAACGTATCAATACAATGTTTGGAAACTGTTATACTGCGGTATTCAAACTGTTTGTATATGCAGAGTTGCGACACATTGCAACCATATACATTGCATATTTTAAATATTCAATATAGCAATGAACAATTTTTCTGAATTTTCCATTTCTAAAACACCAATGCTAACCAATAACAAACGAAACATCAACTTTGTTTCTGATGCGCTGATTGCTCCAGCGATGCGGTTCGATAACTTTTCGGCTGCGTTTTGGAACAGTATACATTGTCAATATTTTGTAGTTCGACGTTATGGAACCTTATACTTTGTACGTATGCAAAGCAATTGACGTTTTGGAAGTCAGCCAATGTGATCGCCTTTTGCGAAAACGGTAGTAGAAAGGTACTAAAAAATGTGTATAATAATTCTATGTGAATTTGTAATATATTTGGGTTTTTAATGGAAATACTAAACAATACGTATAAATATAGATTTTTAATTTAAGTTATTCGTCATTTCCTGGAACAAATCTAGAATACCGACCGTTCAGCTATGCAAAACCGAAAAATGCAGATCAATAGAACTTTTTACGATCATTTCAACCGTGCCAAAATTATTTAGCGCAAGTAAAATATAAAGACGTTTTAGAAGGTTAAAGTTAAATTTTTTGATTTTTTTAAATATTAACATCTTATGAACCATATAACCGATTAAAAAACTAATAGCGTCACCATAAAAATAATCAATTTATCTTTCAGCTGATATATGTAATTGAAATTGTTTTTTATTAATTTAAACCAAAACCACTAAAAAACGAACAAATGTTATTTTTTTTCATGAAATAACCTTTTTTGGAACTGCATGATAAATGGTAAAGAAATTTATATTATTTAGAAAGTACAAGCTATTACCTTTAATTCGATATAAATATTTTATCATGATCTACTTTTGGGTTTTAAGAATTAAGTGATAATAAAAAATATAAATAAACAAAGCAGATAAACCTCTTATATCTTCTCTATTTTTAACCTGCGCCAAATAAATTTGGTATCGTTGAAATCAGCGAAAAAAGTTCTATCAATCGGCACTTTTGGTTATTTTATAGCTAAACGGTCGCTATTCTAGGCTTGTTCTAGAAAATTACACAAACGAAGGTGATGCCAACGAACATTTATTATGAAGAATTTTTGGTTTTACTACTAATATAACTAAAAACTGTAGAGTGAGCAACATTCTGCACAAGTAAAGGAGCCGATTTTATGTGTGGGAGCGAGAAAACTGTTTTATTATAAAACCTTTCTATTATTGAATCATGTTACACATGTATATTTCTTGCACAAAAAAAATTATCAAGCGTCTACTTTTCAATAAATTTGAATTTGAATGTGTGCAGTTTCTTTTTGGTACAGTCTTTACGTAGTCATCAGAATAAAAATCAACAGTAACGTGGGTGCCAAGACGCATATGCTCTGACTGTTTGTGTGAGGACAGGAGATACTTCGTTTTGTCCTCGTTCACCAACCGCCAGACCCATTCGCTTTGCTTCTCTATCCAATCCCGAGAAGGTAGAACAGGCGTAGCCCTTGTTTTTGTTGGTAAGATCGATGTCGTCGGCATAGGCCAGCAATTATAACTTCTTGTAAAGTATTGTGCCTAAGCGGTTCAGTTCTGCGGCTCTTATTATCTTCTCCAATACCAGATTAAAGACATCACACGAGAGGGAGTCCCCTTGTCTGAAGCCACGTTTGGTATCAAACGGCTCGGAGAGGTTCTTCCCTATTCTGAGGCAGCTGATGGTATTGCTTAACGTCATTTTACACAGCTGTATTAGTTTCGCGGGGATACCAACTTCAGACATCGTGGCATAAAGACAACTTCTCTTCCTGCTGTCGAAAGCGGCTTTGAAATCGACAAATAGATGGTGTGTGTCGATCCTATTCTCGCGGGTCTTTTCCAATATATGGCGTATTGTGAATACTTGATCTATGGTGGATTTGCCAGGCCACACTGATAAGGTCCCATCAGTTCGTTGACGGTGGGCTTCAGTCTTTCGCACAATACACTCGATAAGGCCTTATAACCTATGCTTAGAAGGCTGATTCCGCGGGAGTGGGCGCGAATGGCGGGGTCGCATTTCTTGTGGATTGGGCAGAGCGCACACTTAAATTCCAGTCGTGCATGCGTTCATCTGACCATATTCTGTATAAGAGTTGATGCATGCACCTTATCAACTCCTCGCCACCGTACTTTAATAGCCCAGCTGGCAGGCTGTCAGCTCCAGCAGCTTTGTTGTTTTTCAAACGCACTATCGTTATTCGTACCTTGTCATAGTCAGGTGATGGAACATCGACTTCATCGTGATCGACTGGGGGCTCGGGTTCGTCTTCTCCACTAATTTCAGCGCTGCTACCATTCAGTAGGGTGGAAAAGTGTTCCCTTCATAATTTAAGTACATTCTGGATATCGGTCACTAGGTCGCCATTGTTGTTCTTACAGGAGTTCGCTATGGTCTTGAAACCTTCCGTAAGTCGCCTAACCCTCTGGTAAAATTTTCGGGCGTTTATCCTGTCGGCTAGCATTTCAAGCTCTTCGCACTCACGTATTTCGGCCTCTCTCTTCTTATTGCGGCAAATACGTCTCGCTTCCTTCTTCAGTTCCCCATAACGGTCCCACATGGCTCGCGTTGCACCCGATCACAGCGTGGCCCTGTAGGCGGCGTCTTCTTTCTCCACGGCTTCTTGACATTCCTCATCGTACCAGTTGTTCTTTCGGGCTCGCTGAAATCCAACTACTTCTTCGGCGGCGGTACTTAATGATCGGGAAATGTGGTTCCACTGCTCGCGTACGTCGGATTGTTGAAGAGTGCTCTCAGAGAGCAGGTGTGTGAGTCGAGTGGCGAATAAATTGGCCGTCTGTTGTGATTGCAGCTTTTCGACGTTAAGCTTTTAAGCTTTGCTTACATTGTTGGGCGCACATTTTTTGCTGCGGGTGTGTATCTTGGCTACAACAAGATAGTGGTCCGAGTCGATGTTTGGCCCTCGGAGTGTACGNAAGGCCTTATAACCTATGCTTAGAAGGCTGATTCCGCGGGAGTGGGCGCGAATGGCGGGGTCGCATTTCTTGTGGATTGGGCAGAGCGCACACTTAAATTCCAGTCGTGCATGCGTTCATCTGACCATATTCTGTATAAGAGTTGATGCATGCACCTTATCAACTCCTCGCCGC